CTGACAACAGAATTGTAGTTGCTGTTTGTTGTGTAGTTGGCAGTGGTGGCGCAGTTTGGGTAGATACAACACAGAGTGATCATTAGATCCAAAACACAGGCGCCCAAGCTGTCTTCACCTGACGGTTACAGACTTGGAGACACGCCTTCACAATACTGCACAAAACCCATGCAGTAGAATAGAGTCAGTTCTTGCATACAAATCCCAACAGGTTCAGGAAGGTGTTCGCTGCGGAAAGAATGCCGAGGTCGGACCAGCGACATTCCGATCACAGCAAGAAGCCCTTCAGCCGAGACGTGCACCCGGGCGCTTTTCTGATGCTCTCTGGCGCACGCGCCACAAACAACAGTAAATTGTAGCGACTACACAAACACGCAGTTTTTACCCGCGAGAGAGAATGTGCTGACAAGGCAAGCCCCCCACTGTCCTTCTCCCCATTTCCCCTCTTTCCGCGAAATGCACCCCCCCCGCCAGGGGCGCAAGCTCAACAGGAGGGACATCGGACGTATCCTCCAGCAGGAGACGGAAGACCGCGATCTTGACGCTCTCGCCGTCCTCATCAAGGCCGGCTCTAGGGGCTACACAGGCAAGAAGGTCGACGACGGGAGGGACGCCCTCGCGTGGGGTTCGAACCCTGCCGAGGCTGTACTCGAGCAACAGACAGCCCTCCTGGAGGACATCAACTGCGCCAAGGTCGCCGAGGCATGTCCCGAAGTTTCCACTTCGCGTCTCGTGAAGAGGAAGTGGTTCGACCCTCGCGGAGGCTGTGCGATCGCGTCCTGTATTCACCTGGAGACCGGCGACGCCGGAGGAGGAGGAGCGCCAGACACAGCGAGCACTGTGGCTGAGGCTGAGGGGAGCGACGAAGGCGGGAGCGCCCGAAGCATCAGCCAAGGTTAGATGAGAGATACTTTCTAGGGCGCTGTAGGAAAATCGTACGTCGTTGTCGAAATGACTCGTCGTTGTCGAAATGACTCCGAGTCATTTCGACAACGACGTACGATTTTCCTACAGCGCCCAAGAAAGTATCTCTCCTCTAACCTTGGCTGATGCTTCGGGTGCTCCCGTGTTCTCTTCGTCGCTCCCATTTTCATGGAGCATAGGCAGGGACGAGGAAGAAAAAAGATTGGTTCTTCTCTGTACAAGTACCCGTGACCCATGTATGGAAGCGCTCCGACCGAAGCCGTTGCCCAACACGACCTGACGCCAAGGTCGAGAGTACCGAAAGGAGTGCGAGGACACTGCAGTCAAATGCATGCGTTGATTTGTAACGTCTGTGTATGTACAGGCATTTAGCCACAACTCGCGTACCTTCATACTGAATTGCGTGCGATGCGGGACTGTCAAATCCAAGCTTCGAGGTGCTTGTGTGAATGAGGTCCAATCTTTGGACCCCCCATTTTGGACTGCTGCAGGCTGCAAAGACTAGTCTATGCAATTGACTACTGTAGTCTTTGGTGGGCTGTGCACGTGTAGTAATAGTAATGCACCGTACCAGCCACATCATCACCCATCAACAGAGGTTGACCTTGATGCAAACGTCGCATGCATGGTTGATGGCGTACGAAACTTCCACCCCTTCGTGCAAGCTGGGTCCAACCCACACTGGAAGCATGTTACATGCTTGCACCGGAGGTACACCCAAGCACCATGAAGGTCACACTTGACTTTTGTAAGGCGTGTACGGGGTAGATTCACGTGAGACAGGTGGTGGGAGGGCTCGGGCCCCGATAGTCCGCCCGACCAATCGCGTGGTTTCGGGGCTCCCGAGCGAGGGTGGCATCACTCTTTCACAACGAAATAAGCAAAAAAAACGTGGGCAAGTGAAACCTACTCTCGAGCCTCGAGAAACGGCTCAACTAGGTTTGTTTGTTCATCTCCGAACACGACAAGCGGTTCTACGAGGATTGATGCTCTCGGGACACGAGAGACCGCTCACCGAGGTTCGTTACTTTCGGAACAAGGAAGCGTGTCCCCTTCGTGTGCAGATACATATATTATGCTTCTGGTGCGTTGTGGACGCTGGTGGTGGCGACAATTACTACGCCAAGCTGTTTTCACGCCCGCCCTCAAATCAATCAGGTAGTTTTGTCAAGTCCGTCGTCTCTCTCCCCCTGACGGAATTGAACGCCACGAACTGAAGCAAGCCGTGGAATTGAGTTGGCGAACGTTCTGGTAGGTCGTGTGCAGTTCGTGCAGTCACAAGTGGGGGGGAGGGGGGACCGGAGAACACCAGTGCACAAGACACCGGGCATGGGGAAGATGGTGCGCAGCAAATTTACGGTTGTATTAACAAGATTTGAAGGACGACAAAACCACAGGAGGCGAAAAAAATCCATCAAAACAATCCGGGTACCAAAAATGGACACAACATCCCATATCCTTCGACCAGTCTACACCATCACCAACTGCACAAATCCGACTGAACTACATATGTACATTCCCTGGCCCCGGCCCGAGCAGGTGTCACCATCGCAACGCCGCAATTCTCGCCGAATACCCGCTATCGTGGTCGCCTTGTCCGCCGCCGCCGTCCCCTACCCACCCCTGGCCGGCGGCGGCAGAGTGTCCGAGACCGTATCCCCAGCGCCGGCCCCCTTCCACCTCAACACCCTCCACGCCAAGGCTGGAACGTCTCCCGCCTTTTCCCTTCCCCTTGCTACCGCTCCTGCTACCGCTACCGCCTTCTCGTCCCCCCTCTGTGACGTCGAGCTCCGTCTTCACTTTGACGCGTCTAGCACCCCCGCCCCTCCCGCCGCCGCCGCCGCCGCGTTGTTTCTGCTCGCTGCTGCTGTTGCTACTCCCGGGGGACGGCGCTTCAACGCCGCCGCTGCCGCTACCAAACCTCACACCGACCCCCCTCATCGCCCCCTCGCCCCCACAGCCACTAGAACAACCTGCGGCGTCACCAGCAGTAGCGGCGGCGGAGGTGGAGGCGTCGCCGGGAGGCGAGGGGGGAAGCGGGGGTTGCTCGGGCTTCGTTTGGGGCGGCTCCCAGATGCGCACCGTCTGGTCGTCGCACGCGCTGGCCAGCATCCCGGGCCGCGATGGGTTCCAGTGCACAGAGTTTACGGTCCCTGCGTGGCCGTCGAGACTGCCGATGAGCTCTCCCCGCTTTCGATGCCAGATGTAGACCTGGTTGTTTGTCGTGCGAGCGGGAGAATTAATTAACAACGGGGTTGCCAGATGCTGGCGCATGGGTTGTTTGCTGTACATGGGTACGTAAATTCGGCTAGTGTTACATGGTCGGAGGAGGTTCGGTTCTGAACCGAGTTGACAGGTGTGCTTGATTGCGTTCGCGGGCGTTGGAGGGACAAGACACGGGAGAGGTGCTTGTTCTCCAGACGCTTGTCTACCGTTTGTCAAGTAATGCGGTGAGAACTCAACTACAGAATGTAGCGCGCACACATGATGCGTTGCAAGGGGGACAGCTGAAGCCCAGTCAAGATATCTACTTCGCTTGTAAACGGACAACGCAACATACCAAGTAGTAAACCAAGCTGTGGAACGATTCGTCGTAAGCGTGGGACCCACAACTCAAAGCTACGTCAACTCTCAAAGCTACGTCCTTCCCATCGATACCAGCAGAAAGCAACGTGCAGGCGGAGCAGGCACATGACGTCCCTGTATCAAAAAGGCGCATGCACACCACCCTCTTAACGCCGCTGCAGCAGAACTGCGGAGTACCATGTACGTCACGTCTGCTTGCCTTCATCGCGCCTTTGCCCCGGACACCAGTAGCGACGACAACTACAAGAGGGCTTCGATATGTGGACTACATCTAGGCTAGCGGCTTGTCCACACACGAAAGACAATCCCAGTTGAAGCCAGCGGTGCGCTGGTGGCGGCGGTGGCGGAAAGGCGAACATACTCATCCACGCAAGACCCTGACAAGAACAGCTCCTTACCATCACACCCCACCGAGTTCTAGAAAGGTGTAGCCCATTTTTGGGGTAGTTGGGCTGTGACCACGAAATGCGTCCACATCAGTTGGATTACGCAAACGAATATAGGAAGGTACTAAGCGGAAAGCGGAACGGTTTTTAATGTGAAGGCAACAACAACAGCAGCAGCAGCAGCAGCAGCAACAACAACAACAACAACCCGACGCTACACATCGCCCATCGGTGCGCTCGACCGCAACGCGGAAACCAAACCTACCATGCTGTCCTCGCTGCCGCTGGCGACAAAGCGGTCGTCCAGACCCCCGAACGTCGAGCGAACGATGTAGCGATTCTGGTGGTGACCTTCGTACCTGCCCGTGTGAATGCCGGGGTGTTGTCCGCAGTCTGCGTGTCAATCTCGTGGGGATGTACATTGCACTCGGGCGTGTGTTCTACGTGGACAGGTACGGGGAAAGGCTGGCAAGACGCCGACGCGACAAACGCAACACATGAAGGAAAGTCGCGGGAACAAACCAAGTCCTCTCGAGAGGACCGGCCGGTGTTGGATGCGACACAATGCCATCCATGTCTCAGTCCGGCCGGGGGGAAGGGAGCGGGGCCTGGCGCAAGATGTTATCCCAGACGGCAAGAAGACACGATCCTCATCTATTTCTCAATGTGCAGGCTTGACATAGCCCCCCAACAGGCCCTCTAGCATCCAGCAGGCTTCTCTGAACACTCACCCCTGCCAGGCTCAACCAAGCACATGCCTTCGAACGGGGCGTTGCAATCAAACGGGCAAGATCGTTCTTTCATGCTTATGATACACACACACGAGAGATAAAATATCACAGAAAGACCATCCGTTCGAGATAAAACCACAAGGCAGTCCAACGGGATGTGGTCAAGTCTTTGGATTGAGTGGGAGAAGAAACAACCGGCTGAATACTTTCCAAACGCAAGAAAAGAAACGCAAGATACTTGTCGGGCGGCGTTGGCATACTTCTCTAGAATCTTCTTGGTGACGGGGTCCCAGCTCCAGATGCGCGCCCTGTCCATGTGCAGCAGGAGGTGGTGCGACCCGTCCCTCGGACAGCAGACGCCGCTGATAATGTTCCCCTCGAATGCTGGATGATGACGCGAGAGCAACCAACGAGAAACGAAACCACGAACGAATAAGTCTGTAAGAAGACGATAAATGTTGTAGACGCGTTTGTACCTCGCCTGCTTTTCGTCCCATACATTCTTGGCGCCACTCCTTTTCATCAGCGCTCACACACGCCATTTCTATGCAACTTTTTCTTCGGAGCATGTCCGACGCACTAGCCTATAGGAGGAAGGTTTCACAAAGTTTGTCAGCACTTCCCGGGAAACGGACGACGATGCCTGTTCGAAAGTCAAGCCCCTTCGGCGGAGCCAGTCTCAAGGTCTAGGTGGTTTCCTCGTCTTCTCCATACCTACGTTCATCTACGCACTCTAGCAATTCTTGCATTTTAGCGTCAACCGGAACGCGGCTGACGGCAACACCAAAACTCACTTTCGTGTTCTCCCTCCTTAATCGAGCAACACCCGCCGCTCTTCCTGCGAGAGGTGAATCGCGGGGGGGGCCC